AGCACATCATACGAGGAGTGGAGGCAAACCTTCATTATAAATTGTGGTTGTACTGATTTTCCTGCTATTCTTTGTGAGCGGCTAACGATGGATTATCTCACAAGAATGTGACAATTATAGTCCAAAGCAGCAAAGCAGTCCTACCTATAATACGTATTTAGGACTGCTAGTTGCCGTTACCACCCCTCATCACCGTGAAGCAGGTCGGTTGTAAGATAGACCCGAATAAAACTTCGAGATTTGTTGGCGACTTCACGGTAGAAAGAATGAGCCATACACGAGCGTGATCAGTCATAAAATAATAATAATATAGTATAATTTTCTCCCTTGCCTTCATTAGTTTGAAGAAAGAAGAGAAGAGAAGAGTGAAGAAGGAGACGAAGAAAGAAGTCGACCCCACACACATCTTCAAGCCTGCCTGATACTCCATCCAGCAGCGCATCACCCCTGCCTTATTAGGCAGGGAGCTACATGTCCGGGCAGAGGGGTTTCCCCGAGGCCCGCTCCGCGCCCCCGCAAGGGGACGCGACGACCCCACGACTGCAAATTCAGTTCGAGACAGCGAGCCGACGAGTCAAGACCTCTCCGGAAGAAGAGGAGAGAGCCAACCGAACAAGAAAAGACTCGCTCCTACGCCCTGCGCCGGTCAAGCCACGAGGACCGTGTGAACGCCATACTGAAGCCTTCGTTATTTTCCTCGAACCAATCCCAGCACCCGTTCCGCGACAGCCACTGCGGCAATACTCGAGCCACCACGTTTCAACGAGTAAGAAGTCTAAAAATCACACGTGGTGGCCGAAACCTGAGCGGTGGCCGTCCGGAATAGAAAGGACAAAGCGAACTAGGTCGTTTATCTTATACACAACATTCGTTATTACAAGAAAATTTTGATTTAACGATGACAAATGAAGAAAAACACCGCAAAAGAAGTTTCACTTCTTTCACGTGCACCAAGTTGCACGCGAAGTTTTTTTTTTAAAGAACCCCTGTAGCAGTAACCTCTCCAGGCAACATATGGCCATCTCGCTCTGTGTGGCGCTAGATTACTCATCAGCATTCCTATTGCTTACCGTAACTCGCAAAATAACATAGATGTACTTCTACTTCTTACTACTTACATTCACTAAGTTTATGCGCTTTTTTTACCAACCGTAGCACTCTTAATATTACCCTTGGTTGATCGTTAGAGAATGCCGTAGTACGCCTCTGTCCATAAAAATAATAATAAATCCATTAAAAAAAAAACAGTATCACCACATAGTATAAAATAAAGTCGCATTCTCTGTCCCTATATCTGTCTGTCCCTTTTTTCCCCTACCTATGCTGATAGCCTTGAGAGGCTATTTCAGCTGTCCCAATGTATGCTTAAATCTTTAAAACTACGCAACCGATTTTGATGCGTTTTTTTTAGTAGATAGAGCAATTGAAGAGGAAGGTTTATATGTATAATAACATCAATTAAATAGTGGAGAAATCAATAATAAATTACAGTTTCCGAAGCGAAGCGAGGGCGGGTCGCTAGTTATGTAATATTTGATAATAGATTTTTATTCCTATTGAAATTGTGCTGTACAAATTGAGGAATGCGGGGGGAGCATCCCCATTCAATGTTACTCTCACCAAATAAATATATTTACTGAGGAGTATATTTACTAAAAGTCTTAAAATCGATTTCACCTTTCCAGTATCGGCCGTTATAGCCGCCTTCCTACCAGACGATAGACGACTGCAGAAAGAAGTCAAAAATGAAACAGAAGCTAAGGCAGAAAATATAACTAAGTTGTAATAAAATTTAATTAAATAACTATTACATAATATTACTAAAGAAGTTTTATTTTTTTATTTTTTATTTTTAAAGTAAGAAACCACTTACTCTTTTTTTTAGTACGGCAATCGAATTCTGGCCTTGCCATTGTTGCTTATTAATAATAATTTTAAGTTTATACAATATTATGTTTTGAAAACTGATATAAATTACTGGTGGTAGGACCTCTTGTGAGTACGCTCGGGTAGGTACCACCACCCTGCCTATTTCTGCCGTGAAGTAGTAGGTAATGCGTATCGGTTTGAAGGGTAGGGCCTGTTGTAATATTGTATAGTATTGTATTGTAATATTGTATAGCCGTTGTAACTATTCTTGAGACCTTAGAACTTATATCTAAAGGTGGGTGGTACATTTACGTTGTAGATGTCTATGGGCTCCAGTAACAACTTCACACCAGGTGGGCTGTGAGCTCGTCCACCTATCTAAGTAATAAAATAATAAAAAACCTATTCATAACTAATTCTTCATTTACTTCCGAATTCAATAATGGTAGTCCAGTATCCGAATTCATGACCTAATAGACAACACGGCAGGAAAAACAATTTAATATTGTAACAAAAACGTCTAGTGAAAAAAAAACAGATTAAATGTAATACTAAAACTTTTCAGTACTGGTGCCAAACAGTATTAATGGGTTGAAATAAAAACAAATATTTATGCTTCATTGCTCAGAATTGGATTTGTCTGATTGTTGGTCCAACAATTATTTTTTTGTGATTGAAGGATTATTTGTGAACCGGAGGTTTATCCAGTTTCCGGACAGTTGGGCGAGCAAAGGCTCAGCCAGGAGGGCTTAGCTAATACCTTATCGAGCGCTTCCGAAGGAAGCCTATCAACTCAAGATCAGCTGCTTCGCCAATAATGTAAAAATGAATATTTAAAAAAAAATCAAATATAAAAAATAAATAAAAAAAAAAGACATGCCCGCTGAGTTTCTTGCCAATTCTTCTCAGGACGGAGGCTAGTTTTTGTGAATTGGCGGTAGTACATTTGACGTTCAACAAGTATGTACTTACTTTCATTTATGTTGAATAAAAAGAAGATCAGGCGACAAACTCAGCGGACTGATGCATGGATTAGGTTACACGTCGAACTCTTTGCCGAGTTTGACGATTACGGTTAACCGCGCTGTACTGAAATAACAGTACAGCGCTTTTTTTTAAACTCCTGTATCAATCAAACTCCATAAAAACTGGTATCAATACTTTCAATCCCAAGATTAAAAGGTAAAAGTAGGTTTTAATTTTGGACTCGTGACAACCTATTTGAAAATCTTATTAGATTTCATGTTAGAATCTTCAAATTTATAGATAATGTTAGGAATGCACCCAAGATATGGAAAGACCAATTAATATTAGGTACACACTATATTAATAAATAATATAAAAAAACATTAAAAGACAGCATAAATTAAAAAAATGGAGTAGTCTAAAAACATTAAATATTCTTTGGGAAAAACAGAGGATAGACTAAGAAATTTACGCATTAAACTCATGAGATTTTCACGTACAAATTTGTTAAGGGTCAGTATATCATAACAATTTTCTACTATACTTATGTGTATAATCTATGTACTATACCACAAAATTCGTGCCTTAATTCGTTTCAGAGTTTGCTATTCAAGTACAGTTGTGGAGCTAACATAGAAATATATCGTATTTAATAAATTATATAACTTTTATGACTGAAATGTCATTCTAGCTTAATGTATCTTTTCATTCATGGCATTAATTGCCATTCCATAACTTTTCTCATTAACTCGATCCATAAACGCACTCAAACTGTCAAATTGACATTTCACTAATACCAGACTTAAAAAATTCCGAAGCACTTAGAATATTCAGTTTAGTCGTAGAATAGTAAAATCACTTTGTAGTATCACATTAATTTAAAGAACCATAAGTTTAAAATGATTGCGTATTTTGTACTTTTTTCCATGTGATATTTCGAGCTTGGGTCTATCCATAGCTTGGTATAATTCAAATCTGAAACATTAATAAACATTTGCTACAAACTTTGAACAGCTCATTAATGCTTCAGCTTAGTACTCTCATAGGCCACATTGGAAACAAGAATTTTGATTAAAATAATTCTGTCCAATTAAAACCAGAATCATAAGTTTCCTGGAATTTCAAAAATTAGGCTGACAGCACGTATTCGTTCGTTTTGACATTTTCTATTTCCCGTTGAGATTACTCCGGGTTATCTTTTATTTTCAATTAATGTAAAGAAAATCTAAAGTAACAAAACATCGATCGTGATTGGAAGGCTAGGCCTCAATCGAGCAACGTCCAAGGCCATTTTTCTCAACAAAATATACCTATATCAGCACTTATACACGTCAAGTGGACACAAGTAGGTGCTCATTGATTTTTAATAAAGGTTTTCGGTGAATATTGCGGTGTTTAGGGGTTCCATAACATAGAGCATAATATATTGGAGATAGTAATGTAAACACACCAATCCTTGGCGCAAGTAATTCTTAAAATAGAATTACACGAAACAGATAATTAAAATTTGTACAATTACGGTTTAATTCCTACATCCTTTTAAATAAGTTGTGGAAAATCTAAAAATTGGTTTAAGGTGAGCAAAAATAATTTTATAATTACTACAACTAAGTATATTATAATTAAATTGACTAGTAAATTCATGAAAAATATGACCTTAGAGTCAATTTATCAATCAAAATATTAGTAATTATAATTAATAATTTAAATTTTTAGGAGACTTAATCAATAATGTTTAAAGATAAAGTACATGCTTTGAATTTACATTCAGCAAATTAAATTGATCTCAAGATGAAAATTAAGTTTTACATACCTGAACAAGCTCAGTATTAATTACATAATTTTGTTTGAGTCTTATAATCGTCATTCAATTTAATATTACTAAGAACTATATTTTATTTTCATTAACTAAGGCCCTTAGATTATTACATTATCTTAAATAGTAACTATCACTTGTAATTCTTAAGCAGTGCCAGGGGTAGGACTACGTTTACTTACATTGAAGGACTTTAAAATGATAAATAACCACAGAAATAAAGAGCAGACTTCAATACGGAGTTAAATGCAGCACAGCAGCGATGATAAAATTATGATACAATTGCTGCTGTAGAATCAATCATCAGACTAAGATAATTGGCAAATCAACAGCCTTTAAAGGTCTATAACTAAAATACTAATAGCATTTATTTTCTGACCATGTAATCATAATAAATAAATTAAAAAAACAAATTCACAAATTCCTCCTCCATTATGGATTCCAGTAATAAATATGACACAAAATTTCAAACTCCAACACTTAACCCTTTGATTATATATCTATTTCTTTTTAGCATAATTGATGTATTGTCTTTGTGTAATGTTTAGGTGACGATTTATTTTATTTTAATTTAATACTATAAAAGTTCATGATCCTTGTCAGAAGAAGACTTACAAAAAAATTGGACTCATCGTGTATCAAATATCCCATGCTCACTAATCCAGTTAAAAATAAACTACAAATTACAGATACTAAGCTTGTAAAACTTCTTTTTCATAACTTGATTTAATTGTTTAGCAGTAATAAGTGATTCAATGTATTTTGTCTTTTTTAAAATTGAATATAGTCTTTAAAAGTGAGTGAATAAAGTTAGGCTTTTATTGTCTTACTGGTTCTAAAGTACTTAAATTAGTAAGGCTATTCACTGCAAATAAGCACAGTGAAGAATTGAATTAAATATTGTAACTGGAATCTTGGTTTCTACAGAAGAACTTCAGCTCTCTCTAGGTTTTGTACAATATGTTCCAAGAGAAATGCTCTGAGTAATTGTTTGAGATGATCCCACCATATCGCTTTACCGTCATACTACCTGCCACTGGAGCAGACTTCATCCCAAAACCACTGCATTCAACTACAATGTATTTCCAGATTTACATTTTGTCTCATACTATCTGGCTTAGGAATGAACTTCCCTCCGTAATATTTTTTGAGTATTTACTGACGTACACTATGGTAGACAAATACCCGCCATCATGTGGGCTGTATGCTAGTCTAAAAAGCCAATAAGAAAATGTTAAATGATTCAGATAAATAGTAATAATCTAATAATTTAATTTTTAAGATTTAATGTAAGTGCTTGTGTCCCTTATTACCCATTCCAATTAATTTAGAATTTTCTGTCATATACTACATTACATTTCTGTAATGTCATGTCTTGATTATAAATGTGTCAGTCTACTATTAAAATTAACTCATATTTTAAACAAATCTTAATTTTCTTGTTCGAGTGATAGAGTTCAACCTGAACTCTCCAGAGACTGGTTAGATCTTCTCGTTTCCACCTAAAACCGGTGAATCATTCGCTCATCTTCTAAATGATAGAATATTTAACAAAATTTATGAAGTATTTAATGAGTATATCCGATACATGGACAAATTTGAAATGTATCCGAAGAGTGAATAAGTCTAAAGTAAACTTTGCTCATTTACTAAACTTAGTATAAAGTCTTCACTTTAGTATGCCCTTAATAAACCCGAATGATTCGAAGGCAGCTTGCTAGCTGGTGGCCGTATATTGCACAATTTATAAAAAAAAAAAAAAAAAACCAAAATGAATCTAGTATCTTTAAACAAACAATTCTTGTATATAAATAATCTGAACCTCGGAAACGGCTCCAACGATTTCCATAAAATTTAGTATACAGGGGATTTCGGGGGCGATAAATCGATCTATCTACGATTTATTTTCAGAAAATATTGTTTTATTCATGTTTTCAATAATCAACATAAACATAAAGTTAGTTTTTTTTAAAGAAAATAACAAATAATATAATATAACATATCAATATGTAATTCGTATTTAAATATAATTTCTAAAAAACACAATTTGTCAAAAAAAATCCGAGCAATCCTCTATATTTTTTTAATCGCCAACATCGCCTTAATATGTTCGGATTCTACATTGACATAACTATAGGCCCTCGTTAACAGACTAGCCATACTTCGAGATGGCAAGCGGCACTTGGGAGGAGTTCTTCGCGGCTCACCTACCTCCGCCTGACTTCGAAGACAACAGATCGCTATTGAAGGAGTTCTGCGAACGCCATGATCAATACGGCAACAGGATTGCTCTAGTGACCGTAAGCAGAATTGTTAATGTCAATTCATATTATATCGCACGACTAGCTGACCCGGCAAACTTCGTAGTGCCTCAATCGATAAATAAAAGACGTAAACTTTTGTATAAAATAAACTTAAAACAAACAAAAGGAACCCGTGCGACGGGGGACACATCAAAGGAAAAACAAAATTGTTATTTTTATTTAATTCCTAGTATTTTCATATTTATCTACCTTTTAAACCTTCTCTGGACTTCCACGAAGAAGTCAAGACGAAAATTAGCTAAATCGGTCCAGCCGCTCTCGAGTTTTAGCGAGACTAACGAACAGCAATTCATTTTTATATTACCGCACGATATTGACGACGTGATAAATGAATAGTTTCTCATGCTTTCATCAAGAACCTAAATATAACAAAAGTTTTGTTTTTTCTCCTACCGACGCCGAAAGTTCGGTTTTCGGCCCGCTGCACAGGGAAGAAAGTCTAACTTTTTCTCCCTGGGTACTGATAAGTGCGCATGCGCGTTAGTGTCTACGTCTGCTCTCACGCACCTAAAATTCTCCGCCTTCTATCTTGAAACACGAGTTCTAAGTCTCAGATTTTGACAATACAACGGCCGCTCCGCCCTTCAAACCCAAATGCGTTACTCCTTCACGGCAGAAACTGGCAGGGTCGTACATACTCATGCCTGCTCAAGAGATGCCCTACCGCAGTTCGCGAGTCCGCACGGGTAGGTACCACCACCCTACCTATTTCTGCCGTGAAGCAGTAACACGTTTCGGTTTGAAGGGTGTGGCAGCCGTTGTAACTATACTTGAGACCTTAGAACTTATATCTCAAGGTGGGTGGCGCACTTACATTGTATATGTCTATCGGCTCCAGTAACCACTTAACATCAGGTGGGCCATGAGCTCGTCCAACCATCTAAGCAATAAATAAAAACAACAACAAATTTTGCGGGTAAGCATATATTTTTACGTGCTTAATCCCGTCTATATTTCCAGTCAGGTGGAACGACAGTGCCACTAGAGCACAATACGGTGCGTTTCGTGGACAACTTCAGCGCCGGCACACGAGGCTCTGCTTCTGCCGAGTATTTCTTGGAGCATGGCTACGCTGTGATCTTCATGCACCGGCAGAAGTCTTTGGAGCCTTTCACGAGGCACTTCAGCGGGCAGAAGTTGCTCGATATGCTGGATATTCAGGAGCGAGGGCCCAATACGACAATAACCGGTGAGCTTAAGTTAAAATTTGGCTTCTTTTTTTCACTTAAATTCTGTTAGGTACAGCATTTTGTTGGCACTAAAGTCAAAACGTTTGGTTCGTGACAATTGTGGGAAATAAATGTTCACTTCGATTCCATATAATTCACTTTTTTTTTATTGCTTAGATGGGTGGACGAGCTCACAGCCCACCTGGTGTTTAGTGGTTACTGGAGCCCATAGACATCTACAATGTAAATGCGAAACCCACCTTGAGATATAAGTTCTAAGGTCTCAGTATAGTTAAAACGGCTGCCCCACCCTTCAAACCGAAACGCATTACTGCTTCACGGCAGAAATAGGCTTGTTGGTACCTACCCGTGCGGACTCACAAGAGGTCCTACCACCAGTGAACCTACCACATTAACCTAACATTGATACTCATTATAACTAATTCACACTATCAAACATTCTAAGATAAGTTTGACGTAGTGCATGTCACTTCGATTGTTCGGATTCTTCACAATTGTTTGAGATGATACCATCATCTCGTTTTTACCATCGCACCGCCCGCCACCGGAGTAGAGTTCATCCATACTACCTGGAGCCACTGCGGTCATCCACAGTGCGTTTCGAGAGGTCTTTTTTGCCACGTACCATCCCGCTATGCTATCTCCCCTCCACGGTGTTTCCAGTGCGCTATGACTTGTCCTTCTACAAACGAGACTTGTGGAGAGTATTAAGCGGTAGGCAACGGCTTGGCTCTGTCCCTGGCATTGCTGACGTCCATGGGCGACGGTAACCACTCGCTATCAGGTGGGCCGTATGCTCGTCTGCCTACAAGGGCAATAATAAAAAAAACTTCGCCTTACACTGTATTGCAGTACAACTGAAAGACAATGAAAGTAATGAAGATCTGCCTAGATTTTTTGGTGTCGAAAGACTAAGAACGAATTGAAAAAAATTGGCCCCCTCTAATAATACTATTGATTATTTGGAGGACGAATTTATTAACTTATTCAAATAATAAAAAATTACCCATATTACCGCATTATACCGCAAATGACAGTACCGTCCTGTTGCGGCCTGCACGTTACATCGTCAGCTGTTAACGCCCCCCGCGACCCCCCAGTCCCCCGCCCCCTATTGAAGCCAAATAACGTTTCGACAGTGAAGCCGGACAGCGTGGACGTTTTGGCTCCGATCCTGCTGCGGTACAAGGCGGCGCATTCGGCGGGAGCGATCCTGCATGTTTCGTTCACGACGGTGTCGGAGTACTTCTGGCTGTTGCGAGCCGCCTGCGAGTGCCTCACCAACCTCGGACCCCGGGCCGTGCTGTACCTGGCTGCGGCGGTGTCAGACTTCTATATCCCCAAGGATCGAGTTGTAAGCGAGAATAGGCCGTTCTGCTTTCATTATTAGCTTCAAATTCCTATAACTCATTGTGTCTTGGATCGAGAAGTCGGTCGCTTTTTAAGGTGGAAGTCGGAACGCATTTAATCTTTAACAGCCTAATACCAAGATATAAACTTCGACATCTCACCACTTCTCGCCGCTCTGAAACTGCAGAAAGCCAAACAGAAGCGACCATATTTTATTAGTCATACGTTTCTTACTATGCTATTATCGAATGGAATTCAAAACAAAGAAAATAAGTACGAATCATCGAAACACGAATCCTAAACTTGTAAACTTAAGTTTTAGGTTTAAATTTTAACGCAACTATAGCCCATGGCATTGTTAATGTCAATAAATTGCTAGACTAACCCTTAGCACTCGTGATGTCCCCTTAAGACGAGTAATACGTATGGGAGTATATACCCATACTTATGTCTGCGACCCCCTAAGTGGGAGAGAGACCAAGAAACAACTAGCATTAACATTTGCGTCATACACTCAGCCCACTCATAAGATGCAGTCGGCAAGTGGAGCTCCGGTGATCCAGCTCCAGCTGGTACCGAAGATGCTGGCGCCGCTCGTGAACCTCTGGGTTCCGGAGGCCTACGTGGTCTCCTTCAAACTGGAGACGGATGAGAATCTCCTCGTGCCCAAGGCCAGGGCTGCCCTCGATAAATACAAACATAAGGTACCTATATAGCACTAGGAGTCAGTACTTGGACTCTAAATCGCCATTTATTGCATAGTTGGGTGGACGAGCTTACAGCGCACCTGGTGTTAATTGGTTACCGGAGTCCATAGACATCTACAACGTAAATGCGCCACCCACTTTGAGATATGAGTTCTAAGGTCTCAGTATAGTTACAACGGCTGCCCCACCCTTCAAACCGAAATGCATTACTGCTTCACGGTTGAAATAGGTGGCGTGGTGGTACCTATCCGCGCGGACTCACAAGAGGTCCTACCACCAGTAATTACGCAAATTATAATTTTATGGGTTTGATTTTTTTATTAGACTATGTTATTCCTTCACCGTGGAAGTCAATCGTGAACATTTGTTGAGTACGTATTTCATTAGAAAAATTGGTACCCGCCTGCTGGATTCGAACATCAGTGCATCGCTAGATACGAATGCACCGGACGTCTTACCCTTTAGGCCACGACGACTTCGAAATACCGAATCGAAAATTCGAAAATCGATTTTAATCGTTTTTAAAATGAATAATAAAAAATCTAAGTCTTGTTTGAAGTCAGTATTGTTAAAGTTACATTTTATTTTGAACCCCGTCATTTACGTAGGGGAGTTCACTAAGTGAAATAATGTAGTGGATATTTTTAGTAACATGATTAAATATAAAACTTTTATAAATTACCGTTTTTACTTAATCCAGTCCATAGAATAATTAACACAAAATATCATGTTTACAATTTAATATCGTTGGTGTCTCCTTCTTTTTTTTTTAAAGGCGAGCTACGGCTCGTTTATTGGTAAGTGGTTACCGTCGCCCATACACATCAGCAATGAGATTGGCACAAGCAAGCCTACCAAAGTTTTTACTGAACAATTATTTATGATTAAAAATTTAAACTTTTAACTGTTTATAACAGATGCTGGATTAAGGTTACATTACTGCAAACGTATGACGTCACTTGCTATATAATTTATACTACCCCTCGATGCGGAAACGAGACAGCATCAACATTACATAGACATTACTGAGACCTTAGAACTTATATCTCAAGGTGGGTGGCGCATTTACGTCGTAGATGTCTATGGGCTCCGGTAACCATTTAACACCAGGTGGGCTGTAACACCGTCCACAAATAAAAAAATTAAAAAAATGTTTCCAGATGGTAGTGGCTAATTTACTTCAGACGCGTCATCATCGTGTGATACTTGTGACTCCGGACGAGACGCAGGAAATATTACTCACCCGGGAGGAGGTTCATGCGGGTATGTCTGACCGCCCCAACGGTACCATGTTTGAATTTGTCTAGGGAATCGTCTCACGAAATTCTTAGAAACCAATAAATAAATAAAAACATAAAGTTGATGGTCATTTTTGTTGCTTTAAATAGGTGAGTTCTCCGAAATTAATAGATATCATAATGCAACGCACATGTCGCGCTGACTGACAAATAAAACGTAATGTTTGTTTATGCAGGTGTGGACATCGAAGCATCAATAGTTCTGGAGCTGGTCCGTCTCCACGCGGAGCACCTGGCCCCCTGCGGCGCCCCCCCGGCGGCCCCCCACGGCTCGCTGGCCCCGCTGGCCCCCCACGCGCCGCCGACCCCGCGCACCCCGCGCTGACACTCGCGCACCCGACGCCGTCTCTACCTCACCGCCGACTAGACTGCACTAGCTCCCCCACAGAACAAACCACACCATTGCGATCATAGTCGGTAAAATCAATAAATTATATCCTAGCGGTCCATATTTATGTTGAGTTGTCAAAGCTTTATAATGCTTTTTTGAGAGCGTTATAACTCATCATGAATTAGTGCCATACTTAAACCATACTTTCGGAGACGCTTTAGATATTTGCTTCTAGGTTTTCCATACAATTGGTATGCATTGGATTTATTCATTAAATTTGATAAGCGGTGATCCTTGATGAGCGCGACCTTTGTTCACGAACAGATCCAAAAAAATCCAGAAGCTATACTAAAATGATTATATAGTAATTAAAACTTTGATAATTTTTTATCAAGTTTTTTTTAAATAGTGAATACCGCTCGAGGTTAGCCATCTAAGCGTCACAAGTATATTCCCATATTCTGAAAATCATAATAATATGTATATAATTGGAAGCAGCTTGTTGTCGACGTATTGCCATAGTCAATGACACGGATGGCTGTAGTATTGTAAAGCTATAGTAAAAAAACACACCCTGTGAACAAGAACGTTACAGCAAATCTGATGAGCGGAAAACCCGTTAGCACCAATAGGTGCCCACTAAACAATAAATGGGACGTGAACTTTTGCATGCGTATAGAGCTGCAATAGATTACCTTTATTGTATAGTGAAATATTCGTCAAAAATTGGCTTAACACGTTGAACGCCACACGAAAAATCGAGTATTTTCATTCACGCAACGGTGCTCACCGGTGAACCTTAGTGAGCCTTATTGAACCATTCGGGCCGTGAGGGTCACCCGTGAGTCGCGTGAGGGTTCCAACGTAAACGCTTTTTACAAGCCACATACTTCAGCTATCAAACAAAATGGGTATGGAAGTTAATCAGCTATCAAACAAAATGGGTATGGAAGTTAATGGAAGTGAACCGCGTGGCCCTTAAGCCGAACCAAACAGCGTGGTTTTCGAATCCAATGGAATGTTATAGTTTTTAAAATATCTTAAAAACTTGACTAGTAAAAGTCGGTAATTTTTATCTATTTAATATTTTTTTTATACATAGTACCAAGGTTATATTATAGCCTTTCTAAATATCTTAAAAACTAGACGTATAAAATTCTTTAATTTTTATCTATTTATTATTTTACTTATAAGTGGTATCAAGGCTATACATAGCCTATCAAAATATCTCAAAAAGTAGCTATTTTTTATCTATTTATTATTTTACTTATAAGTGGTATCAAGGCTATACATAGCCTATCAAAATATCTCAAAAAGTAGCTATTTTTTATCTATTTATTATTTTACTTATAAGTGGTATCAAAGCTATATATAGCCTTTTAAAATATATTAAAAACTAGACTAGTAAAAGTCGCAATTTTTTTTGTCTTCCGTGCAAATTATCGCATTTTATAAATTTTTTAATGAAAATCTCAAGTTGATAAAAATTATTGATTCCCTGATTTTGGCTTGGCCCGAATGGTTATAAAAAGCGTTCAACGTGTTAAGTTAATTTTTGACGACGTTTTTCTACAAATTCCTTAACTACGTGTTCCCTTTACCTATATACGAATACAATGTGTAAACAGTGTGAATAGAACCAATGGTTCTATAAGTCCTGTGGGGGGCGAATGCCGGGGCGAAGAAGACGTGTCGATGTTAATGATGATGAACATTAGAAACATTATTCGGTGATGAGTGTACATTTAAAATGTGGTGATTACGTGATGAATTTACGTGTTACAAGTCCAGTCGCGGAGCGGGAAGAATTTCGCACGATAACCTGTTATTACCTGTCTTTGTTACTCCCGCGTAAATATAAGGAGTCTCGCTCGCACAGAATGGCACAGATGCAATGACCACCGTCCTCAGGGATTGTAAACCTTTTATCTGAGACCGTAAGGTTTGTTCTTATTTGCATGTTGGCCTTGAGTAGTAAGGCAAGTAGTAAATAAGGCAACCAGTAACTCCGATACAGAAGCATCGGATTCTGATTTTTGAATTTTCATTTTTTTTGTCGGCCGAGTTACTGTAATTGTTAGTCGATTTTTATAACTGTTATAATCTAAATAAATAATTTATTATAATCATCATCATCATCATTCTTTCCTTTACCCTCCATTACCCTCTGCTGGGGTGTAGGGCTCGAATGAAATCTTCTATTTACATCGGTCTTGGGCAGTCTGTTCTAGCTCCTCCCACTCTCTTTCACCCTCTTGCCCCAGACGCTTAACTCCTGCTCCACTGAGCGACGCCAGATTGTTCTGGGGCGGCCTCTCTTCCTCTTACCAGACACTTTCCAAGTCAGTGCTCTCTTTGATAGGCGGGTATCGGACTTTCTCAATATGTGACCAATCCAATGCCACTTCCGCGTAAGGATCTCCATCTCCATTGGTGTCTGCTGGGTTATCCTCCACAGCTCTTTGTCAGTGATCGTCACAGGCCAAAAGATTTTCAAAATCTATCACAGACACTTGAAGTTTTTTTATTAAGTCCTAGCGAACAAACCAAGTTTCGCTCCCGTACAGTAATACAGACCTTACATTGGATTTAAATTATTATAATAGCAATAATTTATTTAATACCTAAGTTAGTAATTTTTTGCTCCTTTAGTCATTTTATGTAAACCGCACTTAATACAAAAAAGTTTTGTTACCACCGTCAGTAGGTAAAGGGGTCATTGTACCAAATTCTTGGTGCTTCGCAACTGGGTGTATAGTCGTTTGTAAATGTAGAGATTAAAAATAGAGAGACTCGCGTCGAATCTCTCGGTATTTTTGTAAGCGTTTGAGGCGTCCATTATTTCGTTCTCGAATACATTACCAATGGTTTTCGAAGCAAAACTCTATGAAATTCAAACCAAAAATTAAAAAAAAAAACCTAAACTAGTAAGTTATCTTTTTGAACATGAAAATGAATAAAGTGAATTATGTGACTATTAAAGTAAGTTAAAAATTTATTTAACTTACGCACGACTTAATTTCACTTTGTTTTTCAATACAAGTAACATGTGCAGATATTTTATACCGTAATATATCTAGCGGCAGATTATATGTCATATATAATATAAAAACTGAATACATAGAATTATACGATGGTGTCTTGAGAAAGGCATTGATAAAATATATTTTCTTAAAGATGTGTTTGAGAACTAATGTTAATACAGTCGCTGTCGACAATGTCAATACAGTCGCTATTGACAATGTCATACAGTCACTGTCGACATTTTATTTTTCCTACCTATTCTAGTAACCTGGAAGGGGTTATTCTAGATTCACAGAACTAGTAGGTAAGCTCACGGGGCTCAAACCTGACGTTGCTGCTAACACGAACCCTAGCAAGAGTCGTGCTTCGCAGAATTTACCACCGAATCGGAAACGCGACCCACTGAGAAAATCCAACGAGAAACTCAATGGGCTGTGTCTGTGGGTTAGTTTACTCGCCGAGCCCTTCGTCACAAGCGACGGGTTCGACGAGAACGATGACCTGTGCTTGAGCTAACTGTCGACAGTGTCAATACAACCGCTATCGACAATGTCAATTGACAATGACAAATTTCGTCAAAATGTTTTTTTTTAATGTAATTCTCAAATATATAATATGAACATTTATCAGTATGTAAACTGAGTAGATTTAGGGGAAACTTAACATATTATTATGTATATAGGACGGATCTAACTTATTTTCAACTCTACGGCACTTTGATTAAAAATGTGATTCTTCATTATCCCTGATCGGTGTCAAGGCTTTAAACATATTTGTTTATTTGTTAAAGTCCCGTTGATTGTTTATATTTTTAAATCTCCCAACTTTTAAATCTTCCCCAATTTGTGGGATCGAAGAGATGTGGGATCCAACCATCAACCAATCTCCACGTGATATAGACAGTTCGCAAAATATCATGATTGATCGATTTTCCTATTCGCCAATTACAGGTCATGTCGTTGGTGACGTCAGAAGCACGGAAGACGATAGTGATTTGTGAATTCACCAAAATTAAAGGTTAATTATGAGGAATCTGTCTAAGGTTCGCTCATTGAGACAATCACTTTGATACGTTTCGCATTTTTGGGATCTCGATATCAAAATCATAATTTAAATAACAATAATTATAACCAAAAAAGATTATATTGTGGCGGGTATCTATCACAGAACACAAGATATTTGACAGATGCCTGAATCTCGCTTACGACATTTTCAAGATAAGCATGCATATATAAGTATACAAGTTCCGAACAACAACATTCGGACCGTCGGTCTACCGAGCAATATCACTCGCTCGGTGGAACATCTTCCCTTTGTCGTTTAAGCCTTCCCACAATATCAAGGGGGGCAAGGCTGTTTGGTTTAAGCGACATTCTTGCAACTTTACGAGAGAGCTATTTAAAGCTTAAAATTTGGATAAAATATCATAACAAAAAAAAAATCTTCAGCTACATATTTGAGTGGAGTACAATTAATTATTTTGTAGATCTATTAACTAAATCGAATTTTTGATGCCTATACCAAATAAATGTGAGCCGTCACGGGACGCCTGGCAGATGTGAAACATCGACATTATTTTGTAAAAGTAATATGCAGAAAAGAACAGATTGTGATACGAACTAAATATGTCATAATGATAAAATAACATATTACGAAAAAATAATTTGTTTTCAAGTAAAACACAGGTTATGTGTACTGTAGTAAACAACACTGTATACACTACGGAGTATACACTATAGGTATCCGAGCTCAGTGTAGCGAGAGAGATGGCTTAACGCCGGATCCAGTGAGAGAGAATCGCACAGTCGATTCTGGCGCGATTCCGATCACACCGATTTCTGGTGTGGCGACGCGTCGCCACACCGTACACACTACTGCATATAGACTGTATATATACACCATCATATCGGGTGGCGGCGTGTCGCCACGCCAGAAATCGGTTTTACGTGCGGCTATAGATGTTTCACATCAATAAAACAGAGCTAAAACAAAGATAAATGTCGTGTATTCAGCGAAATGCCGCTTAAACCAAATAGCCTTTCACCTCTCGATACATATCCCAAAAATGGTCACCCAATCTCTAATTGCCTCTGTTTTCGAGAAATACTCTGCGTGTCATCTGTGACATGCAAATAAATAAAACTAAACGGTCTGTTGGCAACGACAAAATAACAGCTTTTAAATTTATTGAATGCATATAAACTCTCTTTTTTTTTGTGTCTGTCTGTTTGTTTCCCAGTCCGAACTGGATGGATCGGTTTAGACGGGACTTTAACTGACATATAACTAAATGTTCCAAACACACTGTAACTACGTTACAAACTGTAACTAAGTTACAAGCAGTCCCCGCTTGGGAGGTGCAGCGCCGTGTCCTGGTCGCAAAGATAGGACCTGACTTGTCGCTGCCTGGCGTCGTGGCGTCGATGCTTGGCAGCGATGAGTCATGGAAGGCTATGCTCGACTTCTGCGAGTGCACCATCTCGCAGAAGGAGGCGGCGGGGCGAGTGAGGGAAAGCTCTCCTCACTACGCAGAAACCCGCCGCCGCCGAGCAGGGGGTCGGGACCGGGGTCGTATCCGTGACCTGGCCCCCTAAGAGCTAGGGGTCCCACCCGTTTTGTGCGGGGAGAGACCCAGACGCGGGGTGGCGTGCTTTGCACGCTCACCCGCAATAGGAAGCCGGGTGATGGTAGACCGCGTTCCCCCGACCGCTCTGGGGGAAGGTGTAACGCGGCGCCANCGACACACGTCAATAAATTGGCGTCGGACCTAGGAGGCACAGGAGCTGTGCAGTTTACTAGATTAAGGAGGCACAGTATACCTACCTTACACAACAGAAATTAAATCTAACAATAAAAGATGAAGGTGTCACTGGACA